GAAGATGAGGAAAAAAGAGGAAGAGGAATTATTAGTCCTAGGCCTAGGTGACGTCAATGTAGGCCTGGTAGTATATTCAAAGTTAGAGGTAGTGCATGACAAACCTAGAAAAGCCTACGGTACCAGAAAGAGACCACTAGGCTTAGATTTGTTGCTGGACATCAAGACTCAAATTTTTCACATGCCGGTTAACTTATTATTATATATCACATACAATAACAATACTAATTTGGGCCTAGGGCCTTTATTTCTAGATTTAAATTATTATTATTATTATTATTATTAAAATGAGGCTCAGAATTATTGAAGTTTTAAATTTAAAAAAAATTGTATAGCTATAAAAATTTTAAACATACCCTGGAGAGTGTGCATTCCTCTAAACAAGAGTTGGTTAATAATCCAAATAATCCAAATTATTGTTGCAACATGTTATGTGTTGACATAATAAATATATTGTATATAAATCTGTGCTGCAGTGCATGTCACAGTTTCATTACACTTGTTTTGAATTTAGAAAATGTATGTCAATACTGTTACAATGTGTCAGTATGTGATACATACATTAAAATAAAAGAGAAGAAATACCAAAAGCTAAGAAGGGAAGGATTAACAAAATCTAAATCAACTTACAAGCTTGGCAATACATCGCTATCCAGTCCTTGGTTAGAGGAATACACACTCTCTAGGGTCTGTTTAAATTTGTATAACTTTTCTTAAATTAATAATTTTGATGTCTTTAAATTTTTTTTTTTTTATAATTTAAAACTTTAATAATTCTGAGCATCATTTTAATAATAATAATAATAATATCATTATTATTATTATTATTATTATTATTATTATTATTATTATTATTATTATTAAAAAGTGCAAAATATGCCTTAGGTCTAGCTAGAGTTCAATTAAAATAGTATGGGCCTAGTTGTAGAAGTATAGCTTGCCTAGGCCTAGCCCTGAGGTCTAGGGGTAGCAGGCCTAGTGATTTTATTTTATTTTAAGAGAATAAGCTAAAATAGGCCTAGGCCCACTGCCAAATTTATACTGTAATTTAAGCCTAGAAATAAATTATTGTGCATAAACCTAGGCCATAGGTCTAGTTATTATTGTATATTAATATTATAAGTTAACCTTCTGTTGCATATTTGCGTCTTGATGTCCAGCAACAAATCTAGTAGGCCTAGATTTACAATGTCTCTTTCTCGTAGGCTTTTCTACTACAGCTACATGGCATGCACTCCTCATGGAACTACATTGACTTTATCTAGGTCTAGGGTAGGCCTAATTTCTTTTCCTCTTTTTTACTCATTTTCTCTCACATCCAAATCTTTCTCATCGATATTATTATCTACACGGCGGATCTTTTAAAGAACAAAATAAGGCCCCGCTACACTGGCACCGCACTTTCCCCTAGAAAATTTGCAGTTTTACCGAGAAGTTTTAGTTGATTATAAATATTCATGTCAGTGTAGTGTGACGGCTAATGAGTTTACATTATGCATGAGGCGACTGAGACCGAGGAATAAGAGAATACCGAGTCAGAAGTGGAACGTGAATTTCGATTTGGTTTCGTAGTCAGATTTTCGAGAAAAACTTCAGCTACCCATATTTCTCGACTGAGACGTCAATGGGAGCTGTAATTTGTATGGCAAGGAGATGGTGCTACCCTTAATTCGAATTTACGCCCACAAACCTTGTAGTTATTAATATTTTGGTTATAATTAAACAAAAAAAATTTATTTTTTGTTTTTGGTGACGTCACACTCACGCTATAGTTAGCATGCATACGTCATAAGCTAGGCTACGGCCAAATGTGTAATCTGCATTAATGAAACGGAAATGGGCTCTATTTTTTGCCGATGATGTTGTACTATTAGCAAACGATGCCAATGAGTTGCAGAGCATGTTAGACATTGCAAATGATTTTAGTAATAAATATAGATTAAGGTTTAATCATAAAAAATCACATGTATTAATTGTGGGAAGAGAGTGAATGATAAAAGACTCTGGCAATTGGGTGAAGAGAATATTATTGAGGTTGACACATACAAATATTTCACAAGCACATTAATGAAGTAATAAATCGAGGAAAATAATTCAATCTATCCTAAACGATCAAGATGATTTTAACCGAGTTTACTACGGGGACATTCTATGGAAGGCTATTGGTATTTCGAGTCCTTAATTAATTATACTTGTTCAACGTGGTGTGGAGGTAAAAATGATAATGAACTTTTAGAACGTTTACAAATAAATATGGCCAGATTTATACTTAGGGCGCCAAGATACACAAGTAAAGAGGTTTTATATGCAGAATTAGGATGGCAAACTCTTGAGGCTATGCAAAACTGCCAGCGTAAAGTTTGTAAAAAGACTTGTAAACCTTGAAACCGATCGGTGGTCACGTAAAGCACTAGAAGCCATTTTAAATGCTGGAGAAAAAAGTATTAAATGGAGTTGGTTAAAACAAATTAAAGCAATTTTTTCAAACGGTAATTATGATATTGAAAACTTAGATATTGATGATATTAAAAATAGCAATGTCTTTGATTAAAGACCTAGATAAACACAGCTTATTTGAAAGTGCAATGAAAAAACCATCATTAACTACCTATCTGCACATTAAATCGTTTCAAGGTATTACTTTTCTTTATGAGGCATAGAGAAATATTTGCTTGATAAGATTGATTTTAAAAGTGCAAATCTAAAATTTAAAGCGTGTTCTAACACTTTGCAACTCAATGGCAGAGTATCTAAGTGGAGCGATGACATGGACGAGATATGCCCTTTGTGCAAATCAGAAATCGAAGATTTAAACCATTTTTTATTCACTTGTAGAAGCACTGCAATTACCAATACAAGAGTTGATTTGTTAGAGGAGCTTGAAAATGAATTGTATAAAACAAACCACCAAGATATTTGGAACTATTTTATTAGTAATGATTTAAATACAAAACTGTATATGTTACTAGGCAGCGACAATATATATGCAGAATATGAACAAAACGAAACAACCAATAATATTTTTGATATGGCTTGTAAGTCCTTTTTTAAAAGAGCATGGAAAGCGAGAGGTGAAATTTTGGATAATGTAAAAACATAAAATAATTCTTACCAATTTTATATATTTTGTATTTATTTTATCTTTTTTAACTGCTCAAAACTTTTAATTTTTTTAAAAATACTTATATTTTAAAAGAGTTTAAGAATTTAAACAGTAATTACTCTTTTATTTCCGGTGTGCATATTCGTCTTTTAAACAAATACCGTAATTCAAACATTTCTCTGCCATAATTTTTTTAAATTTTATTATTTTAACGCTCTTTTCAATGCTGAATTGAACTTAAATAATTGTCATTTTACTGTTTTTCTTGTATTGTAGGCCTACGTGTTTATCCTATACTGTGCTTTAGTGTACCGGTACGAATGTACTGTGTTGTTTGAATGTTTTTATTGTGAACGCACCACTTGATAGTGCGTGCCACTCATATAAAAGAGTACGATTCAATAAAGTTATTATTATTATTATTATTATTATTATTATTATTACGTCACCTTTTCCTGGTAAGGCAAACTTTCCCGGCGTGCTTTTCTCATGGATAAACAAACACCACTGCTTTGCACATGAAAGCCTTGCCTAGCTAGGGGTACAAGAGCCGCATAGTTAGCATATAATACTTAAACAAGGTACGTCTGCAACTGAATTATTCTTAGGCCCTAGTTAATTTTGTTTTCTTATTTTAATTTATTTCTTTCGAAAGTGTACTTTCGATCACATAGGCCTATATAATTGCACTGTCTACTTAGGCCTAGTCATATTATGCTTCATCGTCCCCCGCTATACACAGTACATCAGTAGGCTAGCTCCCTCTCCCCCCCCCCTTACAGTACAGACGTTTGCTAGGCAAGAGAACGTGATTGCACCTTTCTTCCTAGGTTTTCATGTAAATTTGCATATTGTTAGCTAACCAGCTGCGTGTATTCCTTTGTGAAAATGAGTACCATGGCGTACTCATTTTCACAAAGCATTTGCATCCCCTCTTGGAAAGAGGGAACTTCGAAATAATTGTCACCATATCTTCGCTAATTAATCACCATAACTTAGCTTACACTTATGCATGAGTGGGGGGGGGGGCACTTAAAATATACAATAATCATTTCACTACACGACAAACCCCGAACTTTATTCATGCATTAAACATAAATAGTTTCATCTTGCTGTACTCCAACATCACTGGCCCATGGTAACAACCAACTGGCAGACCATTTCCGGTCACACATTACTCTCCATAACGCAGCACCCCCCCCCCCCCCCCCCCCCTAGTTCCATGTCCTCTGGGTATAGGTATTTAGGAAGTGTATACAATAGAAGGATATCCTAATACAAAATGGGTATTAAACCACAAAACCGACCTTAAGGCAATGGAATAATTTGTTCTATTGTAGATGTGTATAAGAGACAGTATATATACTATGTAGGTTGTTATTGTCACCTGCAAAATTCAATTCATAGTTTTAATTATTAGTTACGTCTGTTTGCTAGTGTAAAGTCTCGATTAAATGAAAAAATTAAAACTAATAGGCCTATTCTATCAACAGGTGTCTTCATATTGTCATTGAAAACTGTATCTCATGGAGCCACTGGAGTTTGTATTTCAGAAGTTCTAAAAAGTTCAAGATAGACCTTGGATTACAGTGAGATTATGACCAAGTCCGGCATTTTACGCATTTTCATTTTCATTTTTCACAGGCTTTTGCGACTCAAATCCAAATCCATGTCAAAACAATGGTGTCTGTGTTAACACCGGCAATTATTACACGTGTCAGTGCCAAAGTGGCTTCATGGGTCAAACTTGTGATCAAGGTAGGACTTGCAAGAAAAGAAAATACAAACTGTGTTTTTCAACCTTAATATCTAATGGTCAACTTTGCATAAAATGATTGTTGTTTACATACTCATTATTTACACCACATACTCATACAAATCATACGAAAATACTTAATAAAGCATTAAAATGTAATTTTATTAAACATTAGGCCTATATGAGCCTCACAGGCACTGGATCTGCTTTTATAAAGGCGGAGTAATATGGGTCAGGTGAGGGTAAAAAGTTTGATATGCCACGAGGTCTCACACTTGGGGTATACGGTTATTATATGAGGGCGCTTTAGTTGACTGATGACTAAAAAATGTATAATAATATTAATCGTGATTATTGTCCGGTTGGCGAATAGCTATTTCAGCCTCATATAATTGGCTTCAGGCGTGGCGCCAACGGGACCGGGGGGGGGGGCCCCCGCCCCCCCCCCCGTCGGAGAGAGCTGCCCAGTATTCTTAAAACGAACTTTAGTCGTAGTTCGAGCTAAAACTTAACTTCAACTAGCACTACGACTAAATCTCGCGAACCTCGACTACGTTGTTTGTAAGTTCAAATTGAAGTCGAAGTTGCAACTAAGACTATATGAAGTTCTAGTTCTAGTTCGCAGTTCGACTAAAGTTCGTTTTAAGAATACGGGCGCCGAGTGTTAGACACAGAGTCGTAGATGCGGTTATGGGTTAGACACTTCTGAGAGCGCCATCAGCGTCTGTTTATGTCGGGAAACTTTATGTTGAATAGTGTTGAATTTAGATCGCCGGAATTAGAAAAAAAACAAAAACGTATGGAACGCCATTTGTGCAAAGAAGTAATATGAACGCCATTAGTGCCAATATCTTTTATTTTTAATAGTTTTCACTGATTAAGACAAAATTTAGGGACTGGAATCCAGTTTATGCAATAAGTAACCGTATTTTTAATTGATGGTTTTTAGGCAATACACCAACGCCATGTGACAGCGCACCATGTCAGAACGGAGGGGTATGTATGAATGTTGGTACAACTTCATTCGTATGTTCTTGTCCATCCACTTACACGGGTACACAATGTCAGACGCCTATTTCTACATCAGGTGAGTCATTTTTAATACTTTTGGAACCCCGTTTTGTATAGTAACATTATTTCTTGATTTACAAACATATACGTCTGTGGTGATGGTGAAAAGAGCTACGTAATGGTATCTGGAGAATCAACCCGAATCCACTTGTTTTTCTTTGTAATTTTAAAGTTAAATGCCATACTGTCGATGCATTCCCTCACCCCGTAACTTATTTTATGTGTATTTGCTCACGTATTTAAAAGTATTGCTGCAATTCTTTTATTTCTATTTTTATTAGTACTTTTTTTCTAATTAACCTTTGACTGATCTCGTTGATGATTATGTACATATATAGACCTATCTTTATATGTTTAATTGATAGTTTTACTTGACTATTTTATGCTAATTTATGTTCCCATTGTCATCGGAGAATGACTAGACATTGATTTAGTTCACGTTTTGACAATTCTCTCCGGCCAATTGGGTGTTTTTCCTCTCTCGGTTATTTTGTGTTTGTCAGTTTTATTGTTCTTTTGACTAAATAAATTAAATGGTTGTAATGCTGCAATAAGTTTTGATAACGATTTTGCCCTTAAAGTTTGCCAACAAAGTATTTGAACATTTAAAAAAATGATTTGATAATTAGCAGAAAGTAATGCTATTTATTCTATTTTCACGAACCATGATTTTGTTTTATTGTGTTGTCTTTCCAGCGTCATGTTCTCCAAACCCTTGCAGTAACGGAGGCGTCTGTTCCCTGTCAGGAAACTCTTACAAGTGCGACTGCTCTCTGGGAACCATTGGCAACAATTGCGAAACACGTTCGTACATTTTGCTCACGTGACCTATTTTCAGACGATTCAATTAAAACGATAAATGCTAACAGTAGGCCTATATGATTAAAGTACATACCGAAAATGTACTCTATAAAACTATTACAATATGTGAACACTTTGGCATACTTTATTCATTAGTTTTACTAACTTGACAATGATAATTTTGTTTTTATATACCGTAACTGTGAAGCGGTTAATACGGTAGTCATGCATGTGTGTGAAGTATATTGTTTAATAGGACTGTGCATAGCTATAATATTTGTTTCCTCTATAATTAAGTATTACTATTTATGTAGTAGCATATCTATGGGACGGTGCACTAGGCCCTCCCCAGCTCGCGGCCCAGGCATCCCTACTAAACAAAAAACTTACGCTCCAGATTTAGAAATCACCTCATATTATCACTTTATTTTCAAGGAAGCTCCCCACAGTTAATCATGGAACCGCCACCCCCCACTCTCAATCAGATAAGCTCTCCCATTTCAATACTCACAGAAACGCCACTGACCAAAATTTTAAACAAATTGAAAGTTTCTTACTATTCACGCAGTTGTGTCATCTGGATGTATAAGCAATAGCTGTGGCACATTCGGCACCTGTCAAACGTTATCAACTGGTGGCTACTTCTGTGTCTGCTCTAATGGGTATTCTGGTGACACCTGTAACGAACCTCCAAGTAAGATTTAAAATGTTAAATTTCAAGTAAAATAAGTATTCATTAGTTACGATGTTTTCGTGATTTTACACACACACACACACACACACACACATATATATATATATATATATATATTATATATACAATATATATAGGGCCTATATATAAATAAATAAATATATATATATAATGTATATATAATATGTGTATGTGTGTGTTTGTAAGTGTTTGTCAAAGAAGAGCGATAAAATAAAAATCCAAAAGTATATTTAATATATTATTATTATATAATAATGTATTAATAATTATCTGTCACTATTATTAGCGTTTTAAAACTATTATTATTATTTATTATTTATTCATTATTATTATAATTACTATTATATTATTATTAATATTATTATTATTATTATTATTATTATTATTATTATTATTATTATTATTATTATTATTATTATTATTCATCTTTATCACCACCAACAACATGATTATTATTACCTCTACTACCACTGAAGCAAGAACTAATTTTATCTTTTAGCTACCTATTGCGGTGTTGGAACATGTCAACAGAATGCTCCATGCTCTCTTTCTGGGTCATACTACCAGTGCGATTGCCCTACAGGATACACTGGACAAAACTGTGAACTTAGTAAGAAATATTTTACATTTATTTCGAGTTAAACACTATATTGATACCTATGAATGAATGTTTAAAGTAATTAGATCTTTGCTTCAAGCAGCCCGAACCTTGTATGTGGAAACATTGAATAACAGGCGATGAGATATTTTTATATTTAAACTACATTCGTATAGAATATGACAATAATTATTTTATTTTAGTTATTTGATAACTAAAACAAATACAGTACCTACAGCCAAAATTGTGAACGATTTCACATAACAAAGCTGGCTTAGACATTAGACAACAAACTGTATGAATATTTTTTTTTTATTACTGGCATCGATGGATACGGTATGTAATTTTAAGAAAAATTCCAGTCATTTTCAATGCGAGTTATCATTAGACCTATGTAAAAACATGAAGAATATGAAGTACAGTACAA